TAGGGAAATCAGATCAAACAAAAATGATCCTAAATGGATGAACAATAGATTAAAATATCTGATTGGTCAAAAGAAGAGGCATATATAGCAAATCAAAAGAGGAGAGGGGCAATTAAGAAATCGATATATTCAGTTAAAGAGAGAAATAAAAAAGGGAATTAGAAAAGCAAAAAGAGATTATGAGGTTAAAGTTGCAAGAGAATCAAAGACTAACCCAAAAGGATTCTTTCAGGTATACAGAAGTAAGATCGGGGACAAGATAGGCCCACTAAAAAGTTCCTCGGGTCAGCCACTGACAGTGATAAGGAAATGTGTAGAATTTTTAACACATACTTCCTCTCAGTTTTTACACAGGAGGATACCAGTGATATTCCAGTAATGATAAATTATGTAGAACAGGAGATAATAAAAACTGTGCACTATTAGGGTCACAAGTGACATGGTCCTTAGGCAAATAGATAAATTAAAACCTAACAAATCCCCAGGCCCTGATGAACTGTATGCAAGGGTTCTAAAGGAATGAAAAGAGGAGCTTAGCACACCTTTGGCTAATCTTTTAAAACATATCACTACAAACTGGCATGGTGCCAGATAAGTGGAAAATGGCAAATGTGATACCTATTTTCAAAACAGGTGACAGGTCCTTAGCTTCGAACTATAGACCAATAAGCCTAACCTCCATAGTGGGAAAATTTAGGGAATCAATAATTGCCGAGGCAGTTCGAAAGCCACCTTGAAAAGCATAAATTAATCAACGAATCTCAGCATGGTTTTACAAAGGGACGTTCCTGCCTTACGAATTTATTAACTTTTTTCACTAAGGTATTTGAGGAGGTAGATCATGGTAACGAATATGATATTGTGTATATGGACTTCGTAAGGCTTTTGACAGGTCCCACATCAGAGACTATTGAGGAAAATTAAAGCACATGGAATAGGAGGAGAAATTTTTTCCTGGATAGAGGCATGGTTGACAAATAGGCAGCAAGAGTTTGCATAAATGGGGAGAAATCAGAGTGGGGAAGCGTCACGAGCGGTGTTCCACAGGGGCCCAGTGTTGGGCCCCCTGCTGTTCACAATCTACATAAACGACATAGATGAGGGCATAAAGAGCGACATCGGCAAGTTTGCCGATGACACCAAAATAGGCCGTCGAATTCATTCTGACGAGGACATTCGAGCACTCCAGGAAGATTTGAATAGACTGATGCAGTGGTCGGAGAAGTGGCCCGATGCAGTTTAATATAGACAAATGCAAAATTCTAAATGTTGGACAGGACAATAACCATGCCACATATAAACTAAATAATGTAGATCTTAATATTACGGATTGCGAAAAAGATTTAGGAGTTCTGGTTAGCAGTAATCTGAAACCAAGACAACAGTGCATAAGTGTTCGCAATAAAGCTAATAGAATCCTTGGGTTCATATCAAGAAGCATAAATAATAGGAGTCCTCAGGTTGTTCTTCAACTCTATACATCCTTGGTTAGGCCTCATTTAGATTATGCTGCACAGTTTTGGTCACCGTATTACAGAATGGATATAAATTCTCTGGAAAATGTACAAAGGGGGATGACAAAGATGATCCCATGTATCAGAAACCTTTCCCCATGAGGATAGACTAAAGGGGCCCCGAAACTGCACTCTCTAGAAAGACGTAGAATTAGGGGGGATATGAATTTAGGTTTATAAGTGGAAGACAGGAAAAAATAAAGGGGAAAGTAAATAGTGTGCTGAAAATATCTAGCCTAGACAGGACTCGCAGCAATGGTTTTAAGTTGGAAAAATTTAGATTCAGGAGGGATATAGGAAAGTACTGGTTTGGTAATAGAGTTGTGGATGAGTGGAACAACTCCCCAAATACCGTTATATAGAGGCCAGAACGTTGTGTAGCTTTAAAAATAGGTTGGATAAATACATGAGTAGATGTGGGTGGGTGGAGTTAGACCTGATAGCTTGTGCTAAAGGCGGTTGCCCTGTTCCTCCCCTTTAAATCAGTGTGACCTGACCTGACTAGGTTGGGTGCATTGGCTTAAGCCGTAGGGACTTGGACCTGCCTCGCATGGCCAGTGGGCCTTCTGCAGTGTTCCTTCGTTCTTATGTTCTTTTGTTCTTATCTCCCCCTCGCCCTCCCTCTCCTCTCCCCCCCCCCTCTCTCTCGCGTCTCTTTTCCACTCAAGGAAGGTTTCCCAGATGCTGGTGAGGGGCTCTTGGTCTAGGGAAAAGGATCGTGTCCC